TCAACGCTACCTCTAGTCATCAGAGTAAGTTACTTTTATCCCTTCTGTCATCAGTTAAAGAATTTGCCAGGCACGTTTTGATATCGTCTACTCTAGCCGCATTTAGATAATAATACCAAACGGGACACTATCGAAATGGTAATGATGCAATTAAATAAAAAAATATACCACATATTGAGTTGGTTGATTTGCTTAACGACATATCTACTACTTATGAGTCATTTCATGCCGAAATTTAATTTCTTTAGGAGCTTTATATATAAAATATATGTTATTATGCTTTCACAGTTGAATACGTGGTAGATGATAGTCAGATTTTGCGCGTATACATGTTTATGTAGACATAATTACTAGAAGCCGTGATATGTGTATTTTATTTTGTAGTTTTGTTGAAGTTATATTTTGCAATACAGTTTAATTTAAGAAAATTTAGAATATATAGATTAATGTCATGAAATTTCATTCATATTAGTTGTTTGGTTTACTGGTTTGGTTTGCTGATTTGGTTTGGCATCATATCAACCACTAATTTGAACATAATTTTATGGCTTCAAATAAATATATTTTGAACGCATATGTATGCCTTCGACTGCAGATAAAACCTATTGTTAGTCATTTTACTATATGTATTGTCCGTCATTTTTATATAAAAATGTATTGCTGGTATTTTTACTATTAAAATGTATTTTACATAGTGTTTTTGTTTTGGGGGGTTCGCTATTTGCCAATAGCTGGGATCCAAACGGGGCGGGGTGGAACTGGGAACAGTAATTAAGAAGCCGTTCCACGCTCTTCAAAACCTTCAATCTCCCAATCAGAGACCTTGCTGCCGGATGTAGTGTATTGCTATACCCAAGACTCATATCATGCGTATCAACACCACTAAAAACAAAAGAAAAAACTGTAGCGTACATAAGATAAATATAGCAATAAAATAAAACGTTATTATTTCGTAAGATGACTTTTATTTAACTAGTTTGCTAGCTGTCGTTTTTCTGGCGACAAAATGATCAGATTTGAAATGTAAATATTTTGTCAATTTAACATGGTTGATTTATTAGGAAATATATTCAGTAAGTATAGAAGGAAACATGAAAAGGACTTAAAATAGCCGGCTTATATTCTTTGGCTTTTACCCAGAGGTTTTTATCAGACAGAAAAGGAAATTAATCCTCACAGCACTGGAGTCTCAGTTCTAGTCAAATTATGTGCGTATGTACGTTTACGTGTACACATAACAGACATAAAATATTTATGCAATTTTACAAAAACTTTAAATAATAATTACATTTATTAATGAATATTTACTAACGAATAAATTTCTTGATTTTTCATGGCTTTAAGAATTTACGTTTTTATTTTTGTTGCCTTCAACTTTATGGTTTCATTATTTAATACAATGTTAGGGTTAGGGACAAAAATTCAAACTCACTCAAATTGTGTCTATATATGCGCTTGCGTAGGCTTGTGTGTATATTAAATAGCACAATCACAATTCACTCATACACAACACAGATATACGCGTATACATTGCTTGGAAAGGCATACGTAATCAATGTGTGATGGACAGAGAAACTGTTTTTCATTTATAACGTAGGCTTTGAAAAAAATGTATTTTACAGCTCCACACACAAGATATTTTGCTTATAAAGTGTCTAAACGCGCCCTCGCATAAATTTATATCCCACTTCATTCATTCATTGATAAATCGTCTGTTTCTTTTTCTCTTTTGATTCAATTTTGAACTGATCGAAATAGGATATGCTACAGCGATTGATTTCAGCATCAATTTTTAATCTTTGAAGTTATTTCTCCTTGGTTCTCTGTTTCAGAGATTAATGAACGGGTTTATCACAAAAATAGTCGTGAAAACGGCAAATAAGAGAAATAAAATCTCAAATGAACCAAAATCAAAAAGAATTTCACAGAAACTATTTTCATACAATAGAACCAACGTCACAAATTAACCAGATTCATGCGGCTCTAAAGTCTTTTAAAAATAATTTTTAACTAAATTTTCTTCTTAAAGACGGGGTGAATAATATAAAGGATAAGATATGCAGCCAGTGCAATAAGCTCGGAATAAAAAATCTACAACCCGAGTTCGAATTCTGGTCGTGTTCATTATATTAAATTACGCACAAATAACCTTGGGAAAGATATAGATCCATTTCTTCTCCCAAAGTTCACAGCTATCGGTAAATAGTAAGTTACACTAGTTTCTTTAACATTGATTGGCAACCAGTCTAGGAGAAGAACACCTCTAAATTCAAACATACGGCTGAAAGGCATACGATGCAGCCAACGAAAGGATCGTAAACTTTACAGAAGCTATCTGGTCATACTCGATGTGATTAGGTTAAAATAGATGACAATACGCATATCAGAAACGGTCAGGGATGTATTTTCAAACCTGTGTAAATTCCTCCCCCAATGAAGTTACAGTTATAGAATTCGCTCTGTAATTTTTATATGCATTTTTACAGCTAAGGAATTTAGTAAAGTTGCAGTATCGACATTTTCTACGAATTGTAAATATTTTGATAGCAGTATTAACTATATTATTTATTGGTTTTACTTTTACAGTGGACAAAAAATAAAATGTTTCCATTGTAAAGAAATTAAGGCTACATATTAAATACTGTTTTTGATGGTATGCACTTCTTTCTTATATAAACTATGTGTTCAAAATATTACCTTTCGATATATATATATATATATATATATATATATATATATATATATATATATATATATCCTAAATTTCAGTCACGTGTCAAAGGAAACGACGAGCTCAAACGCCACCTATTGAAGAATGCTTAGATATTTTCCTCTAGCCCATTATATATATATATATATATATATATATATATATATATATATATATATGTGTGTGTGTGTGTGTGTGTGTGTGTGCTTGAGGTCATCAAAAGAACATTAGTTGACATTATGGTGAACAACGCTCAAAACCTGAGTAACTTATGACAAAATATGAGAAAACGATCATACAAACGCGAATCAATTCTAGTCATTAATTTTAAAATATTCTTTATCTTTCAGTGTATGGCTTGCGGCCCCGAAGGCAAAGGCCGGTGTGCAGGTCCCAATATCTGTTGCCAAAAAGAAGGTTGCGTTATTGGTGACATGGCCAAGGAATGTATGCAGGAAGACGAGGGTACAACTGTATGTGAAGTGAAAGGGATACCGTGCGGAGCCGAGGGACAAGGACGTTGTGTGGCTGATGGAGTCTGCTGTGATACATGTAAGCTTTTCAAACATTAATTTCGGGGTGATGAACGGATAAAATTAATTACAAAAAATACAAAAAAAACGAAATCGGAATTTGCTCATGATGTCATTACGGTATTTTTTTTTTGTCAAGTTAAAAGCTTTTTATTGAATGAATAATTGTTCGAACGCCGAAACTGTAAATGTGGTCGTCTATCTCGCTTGACTCATCAAAATGATTTAAAATCATGTGTAACAGCTGAAAGGATTCGGCTTTTAAAAGATACATAATTCATTCAAGGGAACTGAAGCCATACAATAATCTGAACTTCTGTCGCTACACGCCTCTCATTTTTTGACTTATTTCAATTCTCCCTCTCTTTTACTATGCTGTACAATTAACTGTTGTGTTTTGCCCAACACTTTTTTGTTTTTAGGCCGTCACTCTCTCTCCCCCTTTTCTCTGCCCTTCTTAATCTTCTAACTTTATAATTCTCTTTTTTGTGGAGGGACTTTTTTAATTATATTATATTTCCTGCGTTTTTACTCATTCCTTTTTTGGTGGTGGTAAGGGGTTCATTCTTATTTCAGTACCTTTTTTTTTTCGGTTAGTCCATTCAACGTATTTATGAGGTTTTGGGCAACCCATTAGTATTCATATATACGGTATATAACAATATCATATCATGTAAAGAATATCATCAGATTATGGATACGTTATGAAAGAAAGGAATATCCCGTTTGCATTTGCCCTATTATGGACATTATTATATCCATGAGATATAAAAGAACCTTATTTCTCGGACAGAATGGACTAACCGAAAGAAAAGGAATGTCGAACATGCTTTGATTTCAGAGAGAGTCTTATACCGCTAAGTCAAACAAAAGATTATATACATATATATACATTAGTCCCACGCATAGAAACTATAACATGTATGCAAAAAAAAGCAGAATGAAAAGGAGACAAAAGATCATTTTACTTGGAAATTAGAGCTGTTAGAAATTCTTCTGGGTTTCTGAAGTAGCCATATTCAAGATTTCAGATTCGAGCAGGCTAGGCTAGATTTATTTGCTATGTCACTGGTGAGGACATATTCCGCACACAGGAAAACGACGAGTCATGGGCTATTTCCAAATTGAGGACTGAGAATCGAAGATAGTTTTTATAACTGGTGAAGACATATTTTCCATAAGAAAAGAGCATCATAAACATATAGGTTGCACCAGGTGGCTGGTTCGAGCAGAGGCACCAGGAGAGAACGAAAACTATTTGTGTGTCTTCTTTCCAGTCAGTTAACCGATGCACTGGTTATTTTTGCCACTCTATGAAGTGGCGTCACTAAGCGGCCTTTACGTGAGCCACGTGACTTCATCCCAATCAAAGGGAGATAATCGCCGTGTGTATCCTTACAAGAGCATTCTCAGATCGTCAGTAAATATTTCTGCAGGCGATACCATAGTTTGTAGACGCAATGAATATAATCTAAAACTTGCAAGGGATAACTTCTCTGACCAAACTCTAACGGTTCAATGGTGAAATAACTAGCTTGTTATTTTCAATACCACAAACCCATTCTAATATCATTACATCATTATTGAGCAAACGCTGGATTTTCTTAAGTCACAAGCAACATTTGCGGTCTGCATGCTTAGAATATTAATTGGGTTTCAAGATCTTTCTAATTTCCAAATTCGAACTAATTCCTAATTCCTCCTCATACACTAACCCTCTATCTTGAGTGGTTCTTGAGCCTTGTATTGGGTGAGGCTTACGGCCAAATCACGCTGAAACATCGGCTCCCGTACGTTCACCGAAGTTAAACAACATCAAGCATGATCAGTATCTAGATGGGTGAGCACATGGAAATACCAGGAGCTTGGAGGTGTGAGTAGTGTAATGAATACTAGCTCGGCCTTGTTAATCTGAGAGCTGAGTTATTATTCCGGCTCGGTTCGTTGTATTCAATTCCGCGCAAATACCATTGCGAAAGGTTTGAATACACCTACTCTCTCCTCGGCTATGGGTTAATTATTATGATTTGCGTCGCTAAATCTTTATTATCTCCCCTCAAATTTTTACAATTTAGAACTCTGGCTTCAAATAACATGCAAAGGGTTGATAAGCCGTAGAAAACGTATCAATCAATCAATCAAAACGCGTCTCATTCACCATAAACATCTTAAATATAGCCCTCTACCTTCTATCGTGTGAATGTTAGTATGATAAAGACAAGTGCTGTCGTTCCTTTCTTACTAGAAGGATCGAGCAGAATAGAGCTACTGTAAAAAAAAATATTGCCTTTACAGATTACTCTAGGGCATTATTTCCCAAATTTCTTTTCTCTGGGCCACATTTTCGGAATGAAAATTTGCTCGCGTCTCACCAACGGAAATCCTCGTGAAAAGGCGTAGGCAGCCCTACACCAAAGCAGGTCCAAAGAGAGAGAGAGAGAGAGAGAGAGAGAGAGAGAGAGAGAGAGAGAGAGTGTGTCAAAGGGAGATAACCACAGATTCGAAGTCAGAACATTATCATTGATAACTCTCTTCTCCTATTTACAGAACCTAGTTACTATATTGTTAATACAAACATCACAATGATAAAATCGACGAATAATTATTTACAACTATTTATACTGGGACTCATGTACGTAATTACAAGTAATTCATAATAATAATTTAAATTTTGAAATCATATTTATTTTTAGCAGATGAATTTTTTAAAACTATTTCTAGATCTTTAATTTTTTTTCAATCATTCCGACTCAACTGCTATATTCTTCCGCCGCAGCTATGAGGCGCACTGCACCATTTAGGAACTACTGCTCTAGGGTAACATGGCTATATATCTAGCTTTTATTTAAAAAAATAATTTGTGCTGAGCAAAGCAACTTTAAAGTGTTTGAAATAGCAGGCACTTGTTAGTAATATTGTAAAACTTCTTAGAAAATATAGTTGCCAACAGAAGAAATGGCTCACCGAGCCAAAATATTAACTTGACTAATTGTTATATAGAAGGTTTAAATATTCGACCATGTACTTCCAGAATTAGTGTCTATGGTCATTCAAGAATGTAATGTAAATTCTTGCATTCAACATGAGCCTATATGTGAAGAAATACTGACATGAAAGCATTGTATTACTGAAAATAAAGCTATAGAGCAAAGGTAACGCGAGTATATCGGAGAACCCTTCTACGACGAAAGAGAACAACCAGCAATACACAGAACTATCGACAGACGTGGAAGTAAAAGCAGCACATGCCAAATTGAACAAAAACAGAGCAGATGGGCTAGACGGAATTGTAATGAAAATGCCGACAGATAATTTTGGCATAGACAAGATCACCAAAATAACAACTGAAATCTACAACAGCGGGAATATACCGGAAGACCTCAGCAGATCTATCTTCATAGCAATGTCTAATAAACCAAGCGCAAACGAATGCGAACTTCACTGAAAAATAAGCATAATGAGCTACGTGACAAAACTCATCAACTGTATTCTGATGAATAGAGCGCGCAGCAGAATCAGGCCAGATATAGAAGGAGAACAGTGAGGGTTGGTTAGAGACACCGGAAGAAAGAATGCGAAATTCATACTCAGAATGTTATCAGAAAGCGCGATACAAATGCAAAAGGACGTGTATCTATGTTTCATAGACTATGCAAAGGACTTTGACAAAGTACGCTACAATGATCTGCTGGAACTGTTCAGCAACCTTGATATATTCGGCAAAGATATCAGAATAATCAAGAACCTATACTGGCAGCAAACAGCATGAATGCATATATATATATATATATATATATATATATATATATTATGAGATGGACTAAGTTCGAAAATTATTTTAATATATTTTCTATTTATACGTTATTTTTATAAATAGAAATATTTAAGTAAATGCTTTCTTTATAATTCACAGTAATAACAACATTTACCGGACTGAATGTCCGAGAAATTTCATAGAAAATATGTGACCTCCGAAAGAATTCTAACCTATATCTCTATGATGCTGGTTCGATTCCTGTCAGAGGACAGTATTTTCTATGAAATTTTCTGACGTTCAGGCCGGTACATATAGTTAATACGGTTTATTATAAACAGACCATTTGCTAAAATCTATGAAAATAACATATATATATATATATATATATATATATATATATATATATATATATATATATATGGGCAATAAAATCGTAATCGTTATTGAGTAAGGTTCGCACTGCCACTACCTACAACTAAACGTAGATTGGAGGAAAAAAATAAAATAGTTTTTCAGGAATATTTTATCATTTCTCATGAGATTTATCCAAATCTTTTAAAATTTTTCTGCTTTCTGATATCTACCTGAGTTTTCAAGCTGTTTCGATTATATTATGGTCAGCGCTTTTCGTAGACTAGTCTTGTAACATCAGTGTGAAACGTCTTTGGTACATGCGATGCATGTAATAATGACCCATCATGATTAAATCTTTCATCTCCTTCTATATCTGGTAATAGATGAGATTTTAGTAATATAGTAAGATATTTTCCACTTTTCAGTGCCCCATCGATATTTATCCACTTTCTTGTACTATTGCTGACGATGGGAGCTCAAATCATTAAACATCCATCACCAAATTTGACTGTCTTTGATCGTTTCCGCTACCAATTGATCTTCCTATATACTCTCTAGGAACACTGTCAAATACTGACAGTAAAATGAAGCAAAATGATATATTATATCATTTCTTTTGCTCTCCGCTGTATATAAAGTTAGGTAAGGTAATAGTCACATTAGCCGATTCTGTATGAGGAAACATTCAGCATTCATTGACCGAGCAGGCCAATTGTCGGTTAAAATTTGTAAAATCTTTCGATTAAAATTAATTTTTTTTCTCAAGTCCACAAACTGTTATCGCTCTTTTCAGAAGTGATGGACGGTTTCCTTCCTAACCATTTGTTTCGAGTTGTGTGAAACGTGCAAATCTTGATTAAATCATTATTTTCTCTTTGAGAAAATTTGCTATCCATTTAAGTTCATGTCGCTGTTGAAAGCCCTCAAGTGATGTGGTTCCTGTTATTTGGTAGAATTCTTTGTTTGTGACTTTGTACCGCCAGTCTATGAGGTTCGAAGAAGTCTGGTTTACGCTATGATCTACAGGTGTCACTCGTTGGAAGCCTATTTAATCATTGATTTGAGAAAGCGGTTGTTCACAGTTCTCAATGTAGATATTTCTGAACAGGTTTGTCACCATACATGACATCCACATGAAAATCTCAATCTGAAAAGGCTATTTAAGATCATGACTCAATTTTTCTATGTGAAAGTTTTAGTTTTGTAGCAACTTGCTGTGTTGAATTAATCCAAGTCCAGCCTATTCTAAGTTCAATTTTCTCTTATATTAAATTTGTTATAACTAGTCCATATACGGAAGTATTCGAAGTGGTTAAACGAAGATTAAGATTTAATATGCAAAATATGTGTAAGGAATCAGTTATTGTTTAATTATTTACATGTAAACGTTTCCGGTTGTCAGGTTCAGGGAAAACCCACTGTAGGATTGAACTCACATCTATCACCAAATAGATAACCCAACGCTTCAATCCACTACGAATAAGGCGTCCATTTAAGAAGCCTGAAACGTCAGTTTGGGTCCTACAGACCCAGTTTGACGCTCACTAGTCTCAAGACTTGCAATAATATAGAGAGCGGACGGAGAAAAAAAATTACCCCCGTAGATTACATAGAGTTCAGTTCGAAATTCTCTGAAAGTTACACGGGGCGGTAGACACCTGATGAAGTCTGGAAAGTACAACGCCGGAAACTCAGTGACAATAATAAGATATGATGACAACAGTCTGCGTGTAAATAACGTAACTACTAATGCCATGAATTCAGACAGAAAATACCCAAGAAAATAATAAAAGTATAGGCCTCTTAGATGCATGTATTCATTATTTGGAGCCAGTTCCATTTTTATTGTCTATTCAATTGTTGAAGATTTCTCGATTCGGGATGAAGAAATCAATTATCAACACTGCGCAGGTTGATCTACTGAGCTTCTATCCAGATATTTGAATAGACGTTGCCATTTTTTGAATTGTACGAAACTTTTGTTGGACGTATTATCTTTATTTTAAATCTGTCATCGAACCTAAGAGATCTTTTATTTATTCCACAAACCAGGGTGGCATTTCATCAGATGCTAACTACGCTAAGCAGAATATTAAATGCCTTAATTTGTCAGGTTCCTGGAAGGATCGATGCATGCGCATGAAATATGCAAACTCAATAAAAACAAGGTACAGGATTCTAGCGCGTAAACATTAAGGATAATAATTAGACGTTCATTTCAATTTAATAAGTTATAGGAAATACAATACCATGAATATGTTCTTATAGTGATAATAACTGACTGGGTCTCATCATTTCACACAACTCCTGCTATGTCTTGCGACCTGTCAGTCCAGAGACACTTCCAACCTCTTCTACCTTTAAACAGCATGACGACTTCGATGTCTGTCATGGTGTACACTCGTTGCCTTACTGTCTCCGTGATGTTCTGCGTCCATCTTTTCCTGTTACGTTCTACTTGCCTGTTTTTAGTCGGTTTCCGGTTGTACAATATGCGGCAGAAATACCTTTTCCCATTACAAAAAAAAAAAAAAATGAAAAATCCAGGATAATTGAGATTATAAAATAAAATATTTCCCTGCTGTTTAAACAAATATCTACAGTTTTTAATCATTTGGTTTTAAAAATGACATCCTCCAAATGATTGTCTCTATTCACCATACACTGTTGTAGTCTTCCAGGTGGCTTTGTTTCAAGCGCTAAATATGTAGCGCTGATATTTTCAACGCAGTTTCGATTTTCTATTCGGAATAGC